CACCAACTATTTTTGTCAGAGAGACAGGATTTCTCTGGACAGAAACCTTTGGGCCTGGAGACAAGTAAAATGAAATAAAAAGTGGGGACCACGTAACTTTGGAATCCAGTTGAGGGCCGGAGAGGGTTGGTTGGCGGACCAAATGTGGTCTGCGGGCCGTAACTTGATGATTGCTAACTTAGACCGTGGACTTAGACTTGTGAAAATTAGAAATGGATTCTACTTATATAGTACTTTTCTGGTCCTGATGACCACTCAAAGTACTTACTTTTTCCAATAACAAAGTCAAGAATTGAACCCACAACCCCTCAAGTGTCAGAAAACTGCACTACCTGCTGAGCTGGAGCCACTGATCTGGACAGAGCGTCTTAAAAAAAAAATACAGTTTCCTTGGTTTGTGATCTGGACAGAGCGTCTTAAAAAAAAATACAGTTTCCTTGGTTGTTGACAGCCACCCAAAGCCCTACAGGTACGAACGGCATTTAATGTAAATGAAAAGACATCAGGACATCAGCAAAAGCAATTACTTACAAATGAAAAAAAAAAACATTAAAAAATACCAATCTAGTGCCAGTATGGAAAGGTTGAGAAATGACAGTTGGAGGAAGGGTGGAGGAATATCATTGTGTCTTCAGTGCTTTCCATCAGGAGCAGAAATGAGAAAAAGTCCTGGTGGCGGAGTAGGAGAGGTCAGAGTGATAATCCACGGTGGCTCGTACTCTGAAGTACCGATGTTAGGGACGATTTCATCAAATACGGGCCTGGTTGCGTTGATGGAAAAGGTCAGGATTTAATTCCAATACGGTTCAATGGCGTCGCCATAATTACACAGGCGTTATCAACACCGATGGCCATTTAAATTTACAGATTAGAAAAACCCCAGCAATCAATATCACATCTTGCTGATGTGCTGTTATTATTATTACTATTGATCTGGCAGAGCTTGTCCAAAGTCAGTCCCTGTGGAACAGCAGGGGGGAAAAAAACAGCAACTTTGAAGACGACAGTTACAAAAGACGGCAGAAACTGCTCATACAGTAACAGTTTTGTTTTTTTTACTACAGTATCTCTGACTAGTCGAGGCCTCGCTCTGCCCTGAGCAGCCTAACACTGTTACCTAGTTAAGGCCAAACACAGCAGAGCTGCTGAGGTCCTGGTCTCCTCTCTCCATGCATCAGTACCTCTGCTGCACTGACTGGAGCCTCAGATAGGATCTTTCTGTTTTGGCCCAGTGTCTGAACCGCGTCTTTATCAGCGTTACCTCTGGAGGGGGCTTTATCTGCCCGGCTGATAACAATGTTTTTCCACCTCCTCCCTGACACTTGTTCCACTGCTAAATAGCAGTCAAAGCTGGCTCTGACCAGCCGTCGTATTCACCTGGTCCTATTCACGCTGCACCTCGTAAACAAGATGGAGACCGAGGTGACGTGGAAGGAGCGAAGGAGGCGGCGAAGAGAGCAACAGTCAACACTCGTGTAACCAACCGGATTAGAGAAGATGTACCGCTAAGTTTATGAACACGCGCTCCGGAAAGTGTTTAAGGCTCGTCTTTCTTTTCGCACTTTCATGAAGTGTGGTCCCGGCCCTGTTTTCACTGCAGGGCTGCCGGCGCATCTGTTGCTGGAGAGAGTGGCTGAACAGCGTTGAGTGAGTTCACAGGAGCAGCACTAAATAGAGTGTGTGTGTCAGATGAAAACGGGGCCAGTGTAGGAGGTGGTACTCGGCAAAGTGCAGCCGAGTAAAAGTTGTAGATCACTCCCGGATCTTGGCCGGGGCCAAGCATTCAACATGCTTTTTCATTCACGCCGCAGTGGGAGAAGCGCTGCGCTCCACGCAGGCCTGGAACATCTGTAAGCTGTTGCAGAGACGGAGCCCAGAGGAAAACATTTACCTAACAGAATACTAATTCTTTCAGGCCCCGGTGTCAGCAGTTTGTAAATAAATCTTGCACACATGGTATTGTTTTTGAAAGTGGATCTGGGAGAACCATTTTGCTGGTGGTAATCTGCAGCGTACACCCAGGAGGTTCTTGATTGAGCTCCTTCTCTCCTCCCCTGCTCTGCTCTCACTGCTAACATCTGTGCTCCATAAATTCATCTTTAGTAACACAATTCACCACGCCAAAATATAGGTTAGCGCTAACATCAGATTTATAGCAGACATCTTGTGGTGGGTGGTACCATCAGAACCGATTCTTATAAATAGTTTTTCTAACTTTTTGTTTCTCCCTCTTTGCACTGAGCCAATCAGTGAATTGTTCAGAGCAGCAGCAGAAAAACCCAGCTCTGAAGAAAGAGTTCTAATTTTAACCTGCCATAGTTATTACTGGCTGTCTTAATGTAAGAATCAACAGTTCTGAGCAAAAACAAAAGAATTTCAGTTGTTAATTAAGTGTTTGTCCAAGGGTTTGGTTCCAAACACCCGGCCCAGGGCCCACTTCTGGCCCACAAACATCTCAAATCTGGCCCTTGATAGACCCTCAAATTATTTATTTTATTTTATTCTTAAAATTCTTTAGTTTGTTATTCAAGAATGAAAAAAGATAACAAACCTACTGTTTTATTTGTATTTTGTATTTTCTTTGTATCAAACGTCAAATGCTAGTGATGTCCGATATTAAGTTTTTGCCGATATTTGATATGCCGATATTGGACAAACACTTAATTTCCGATTCCAGTATCAACCTATACTGATATAGACCTGGATAAATATTTATTTATTTATCTGTACAAACCACTGAATGAGTATGAGATTAATTAAATGAGCTGCAACGCTGCCATCTAGTGACTTTTATTTTAATATACAGCCGTTTATCCCCCAAATTATTTTGCACACATCATTTGGCCAAACCCAGGCATTGCGTTGTAATATCTGTTATCGTTTTTTTCCTCCGATAATGAATACTGATAACGATTCTTACAGATATTACGTAATCTGCTAATATCGGCCCGACATCCCTATCAAAACACCCATGTGGCCGTCCAATGACAGTGGCAGCATGTGGCCTCTGTTATTTGAGTTTGAGACCCTTGGTTTAGCATCTAAGATCTGTAATTGATTCTTAACCAAAACAAAAATGGATGAAAGTCGCTCGATCTGAAGCCACAGAGCGAGAATGAAGAGAGTCGTTGTGGCGGGGAGATGAATCGGAGACAGTTTTTACCTTTTGTTGGCCAGCGTTTTGCTGTGCTGTGGCCTCCACATTTGAGTGAATGTATGGGAAAACACTGAACTCAACTGTACATGTCAAAAAACAAATATTTTACAGCCTAAAGATTGTCTTGGCTGTGAAGAAATCTAAAATAAGCCAGAGCTCTGTGGAAGAAAGGCCTCCATTTAATGGCCCATCACTGTGGCAGAACTAAAACGCTGCTTTTATGTTGCTGCACTGACTCATTGTCACTGCATTTTTCTTTAGGATGATGGTTACAGATTTAAAGGTTTGTCAGACACCAATAAACAACAATACACTCTTGTTTTATATATATATTTATTTATTTATATTTCAACTTGTTTTTATTTCCAGTCCTCTTCTTCTTTCTCCACTGGGTTGAAGCTGCTGCGGTGATAGTGCACAAAAAAAGGGTCCACAACTGGGAGTTGAAATGGAGTTCTCCTTCATCTTTGCCTCGCAGCATATTTTTATTTTTATTTATTTTTCCTTGTGATGCCTGTGTGCAGCAGCATGGATTCTAAATGGATGAATGGACGTGGGGATTTGCAGGATTGCGGCTTTAATTGCAGTATCTGGAGTATGATGTCCTTGTTAAAGGCACAGGCGCGGAGCTGATCGTACGCCTGGTTCCAGACCTTCTCTGTGAATGTCATGGTAATTGGCATTAGCTGGAACCTGTGTGCATCTAATCAGTGCTCCGAGATGGCCAGCGAGGTAACAGTCGGAAACATGAAGTGGAGGTTCTCCTTCATGACGAGTCACTCTGTGACTGTGTCAGCCGCTGGGATACATAATTCAGTGCTTTTAAACTGGACCTGTCTGGTGAAGTGAGCAGTTGTTGTACTGTGTGTGTGTCTGTGTCTGTGTGTTTTTCTTTTTCTGCATCTGTCTCCTTATCATTTCGCTGCGGCTGACATCTCTCTCAGCTGTGTACCGCCGTGGAGAAAGTGCACTTCGGAGGCCCAGGTAAACGCACCAAGAGAAGGAGGCCCCGCCTCATGAATAAATGATCATGACATGCAGAGATCATTTGCATCCGTGTAAAAGTAATACATCAGCGCTTTTGTCTGCCGAGGCGTCTGGAGGTGCGCTTTTATTTCATTATCGCACAGGAAATGGCTTTCATTAACGGTGGCAAAGCAAAAGGTGTTGACAGCGACGCACTGACTCGTCAAACCGATCAGAGTGTGTGTCCGAGCTGATCACAGCCCCCGCCCCTCCCCCTCCCTCTCTCTCCCTCACCCTCCCTCTCTCCCTCTCTCTAATTAGGCTTCTATATACCACCAGCATCACAACAAATGCTGAACCAGGTTTGTCCTTGCCTAATCCGGGGGAACTCATTTTTAAGGTTATTATGCAAATCGATAGCATACATGAAAGCCTGCGTCTCATTTCTGATCTGACACATTGGTTTTCAATAGCTTAAAGTCTGGCTCTGCAGGTGTCGTGTCAATAACAGCCAGCCATCGATCGGCCACGGTCCGTGGGGGATTGGGACAGCAGGGCCGCCCTGCGTTGGGGGGAGATTTTGTTCCTTAGTTGAAGATGAGGCACCGACGCAAACAAACACCATTAAATCCTAATGCTATAGAAAACACAGGCCCTAACTGACTGCACGCGCTCGCTGTTTCTGAGCCTTAGGATGTGACAGTGTATAGATGTTATGTTCAATCAGTAATGTGTAGAGCAGGGGTGTCCACACTTTTTTGTCTTGGAAGTTACTATTAAAATAAAATAAAAAATAAATGTGTACTACATTGATCCCATATTTGGGGAATTGTTTTGTTAGCAGCAGATATGCTGTGAACAGTGGGCAGCTTTAGGCGCCCGGGGAGCAGTGTGTGGGGACGGCACCATGCTCAGAGCACCTCAGTGGCCTCCTCTCCACTCTGTCTCCAGGGTTGATGAGTTAATCACCCTCACCTGTGTCCTCTGACCTCCTGCTCAGTAGTCTCACTCATCTCACCTGCTGCCATGGGTGAGTAGACCTCTCTCCTTCACTCAGTGTTTGGCGGGTCACTGTTCAGTGTTCATAGTATGTTGTTGCTGCTTGTGTGTTCCTGTATTCCTGCTTGTTGCTGCTCTGGTTATGGCTGTGTTCCTTTGATTGTTGGAGGGATTAAAGTTTGTTAAATTAAATAAAACTGAGAAGGATCATTGTCTCCAGAGGTGATGGGCACGGTCCTGTCTGCGTTCCCTGTTCTGCTCCAGTACGTGACAGTGTTGGGCTTGTGATGGTCGTCGCCCTAAATAAACATATCTCAATATGTTTAAAATATATCACTGCTCAATATTGCAGTATTCTTCACTTTACAAGTGTCCACTTCTGACACAATGCTGTGTTTTTCTGACATACTTGGTGCAATTTCCTTCCCCATGTTATTGCATGTTGCAGATACTTAATAATTGGTTGAGATTTTGAGTTTTAAAATGGGATTTATCCCAGTGTTGGCTGTGGGTGAGTCATCATTGTACCCACTTATGCTGAGGGACTTAGGAAGGGATTTTATTTTTTATTTTTTAAGGCACTACTTGCCAATATTTAAACTGTAACTAAAATGGTCAAGCTAACTTAAATAAGTAATACTGAAGGTTAGATGCATCAACAGCAAACAGGAAGACAGGGAAAAGGTGTCTTCCTGTTTGCTGTTTAAGTGGAAAATGGCAACTAGTTTAAGTATTTGTTGGTAAACTGCTAGTAATGTAGAAAGTTGTACCCACTAATGCTAATAAAGTATATGCACCTCAACATATATGGATGTATAAATGCAGTAGGAGAATGGAGATGTGCAAACAGAGCTCAGTGACTATCCCTGGGTTTCCTCCTTTGAAAACCCCTACTTCTGCTTTGACAAAGACACCGAACTATAAATACTGCAGTTTTGATTATTTAACTCATACCTGGCTATTTACACCTAACGGTTATATCTGTTCTTATGGTAAATGAAAAAAAAGTACAAACTGGGGGAGAATAAAAAAAAACGAAGGTTTAGAGTTCTCTTCTTCATGGCAACAACTCGGTGAAGTAAGAAAATCGTAGTTTTTCTCCAGTGATTTCAGTAGAGCCGTTCATTTATCGAGTAATTTATTCATACTTTTTTTTTGAAGCTTCGCTCAATAGTAGCTGACCTCGGTGCCCCTTCATCCAGCTCTCCCTTCCGAGACCGAGCGCAAGCGGTCTCTCCAGAGCGAGGGAATGCAGGTCAGAGGCAGAGTTTACTCAGAGAGGGGGTGGGGGGGCAATTTCCACAACGAGATGGTGTTAAGCGGGTAATCATAACGTGATAGCACCGCAGCTACCGGGGTCATGTGTGCTTATGAATATTAAGGAGGAGTGTTCAGAATTACCCCTCATATAAAACACTGACCTTTTGTAGAGACTGCAACATGCTGTGATGATTAGAATTACAATGTGAGAGCTGTTGCCAAACACCACATTAAGGATGTACAAACAGCATGGACGCGTCTTCCACTGCTGCGGAGGTAAATTGAATTGAACATGTACAGAATAAGTAGTATTTCCATGTTGATCAAAATACATCCAGTTATTTCATAATTCTTTTACTGGAAAAATCATATGCTTGACATATGTTAGTGCATTACATGATATCTCAGTATGCATGATGAGTATATGAAGTGCATTCTATTATTTCATGTTTATCAGGCAAGTACTATTACGTCTTATAGTACAATACTCATGCATTGCTTTCATTGTTCAGCAGCAGAATTTTATTTAGAAACAAAATATTGTTGAAAAAATTAAATTAAATATTAAATAAGGATAAAGTAAATAACTTGTTTCTTTGATTTTCCTTCAAGTTATTTTTATAAAATCAATTTATAAAGTCAATTTTCATATTTACTGAAAAACAAACTCCCTCCATCTAACATATGTCCGTTGTCCTGTCTATCCAGTTGTTAATGGTTGGTCCATCCTTGAACATCGATTTCTTAGTAATTTTTTTTTATAAGAATAAAAAAAAGATATGCCCTAAAATCTTCAGTTTTACAGAAAGAAGTGTGAGATTGCAGTAAAACCTTATGGAGCAGGAAAAAAACCAAAGACAGTGTTTGCAGCTCTCTTCATGTTGTTTAGCATCAGCTAGATTCCAGTTCCCATTGAACTTGAAAGGCTGTGAAACTGTGGCATAGAAGTTAGGAAAAAAACACCAGACTTTTGTCACCGATGAAAACTTCCTGTTAGCTCGGTGATGGAGTTCAGCTCTCTACAGAGGGAGAGGGTAATTGTTGAAACAGGTGTAACTGTCGACACACGAGCGCACGCCGCTCTGTTTTCTGGTCCCTGAACCAACCTCCGCCTCTGACTCCATCTCACAAGTCTTTCAGACAACCTTGGTGTGATTTTTCTCGACGAAAGCGCTCGGGCTCTTGTGCTTTGCTCCGGCTCGGCGTAGAGAGGGGACAAAACGGGAGCCTGAGAGAAGATGGAGTACGAATCCATTTCTTCTTCTAATTATGCAGGAAAAAGAGACTTTGTGAAGATAAAGTTGGGTGACATGAGGGCACACTGAGGGACACACTCACTCTACCAAGATTTTTCAAAGTGGGAGACACAAATGGATGTTTGTGCTATAAGCTGAGGCTGCTAATTGGTACAAACTTAATGAATGCAGGGTGCTGTGCAGAGACAGATGCTTTGTGCAATGTGGCAGATTTCAGTGGCTGTGCGTCTCTCTCCATCCCTGCAACATCAAGAAGAGGAGAACATTTGGCAGGTCAGAAAATTAGGCGAGGAGAGAGGGAAGCCCAAGAAGGGGAGAGAGAGGGAAAAGAAAATTAAGCAGTTGTTTGTTTATTTCCCGTTAATTTATGGGCGAACGTGTGGATGTTTGCTGTGTGTGTCTTCAGTCTGAGAGTTTGCAGTTCTCCAGCGCTTGTCTGTTTGTTTGAGCCGTTGCTTTTGTTTTGGCTTTCTTGCCTCGCCAGCTTTGTGGCTCTCAATTAGCGCTCGAGCCTCAGGGACCTAATTAACCGCTTCAATTAATAAATAAATTTTCTTAAAAATCCCATTCAAGCCTTTCTGACATTTGTTAGCCACTCAGGAGCTGCTATGTGTGTGTGTGTGTGTGTGTGTGTTTGAGAAGAGGCGGAGAGAAGCAGAGGGAACGATTATCTTGTTTGCAAGTTCTCCTCGTCCCCCAGGTGGCCGATGGAGGGGACAGTCTTGTGTGTGTTTGGCTAAATGGATGGAAGGGGGCTTACCCGCCGAGCTGGACCCCACAGCAGAGGAAGACCTCCGTGACCTTTCATCGAGTGTCCAATCAATAATGTGCAAACGTCCATCTCTTTGAGTTGCAGCCCAGTCTTCTGAAGGCCTGTGGCCGGCAGCAAAGCAGGGTGGGATCAGGGTACACAAGGGGGCAGGAGAGTCCTCGGGGGGGCAGATATGGAACAGAAGCAACTGCCTCATGTCATAATGATGTCTTCCTTTAGCTGATGCAGAGGCAGGAGGTCAGTGTCCCCGTCCCTCCTCCACTAGCCACAGCCACTGCTGTCCTTTGTCTGACAATGAAGGCGTCCTCTCAGGTCTGTCAGCAGGCTGTGTGATGAAGGAGCAGGCTTTTTTCTCCCACATTACAATCCCATTTAGCTCTTCTTATCGTGCCAATATATCTGCTCACACGTGAGGATGGAGTTGTGTCTCGTCGTTTTGTGAACTGTAACGTATATTCCCCTGCGGGCGCCGCGGTGAGGTGTGCTCGTTTAATTTGTAGCATTATCTCCAAACACCAACATTACAGGATGTGCGTGTCAGCGCCCTGATGGATCTGACTGTGTACCGGTGTTCATTAAACACACTCCAAACAGCCTTCAAACCCGCTCTATTAGTGGCTGCCTCCAGAACAAGAGGCAGTTTTTGACCACGTGTAACGCTCCCTTAAGCAGACGAGTGAGACTTGAAAGACGAAACGGGAATGGAAGACTCTGTTTTTCCTTTCATGAGAATGCCAGCGAGGAGTCAATCACTGGATATCAAAGCGTTGGGGACACGCAGGAGAACGTACATACTGCCACAACACGTGCGGCCCACATTTGTTGAAGAATGTTAAGACGGCCATCGGGAGCTACGGCGGCGACACAGGGAGCAGACGCTAGCATTTTCCGGCGAGCGGTTAGCTGTCGTTGCGTATTAGCTGCAGGCGCACAATGACAGCGCTGCACAGACGCCCGCAGACTTCGGCGAGACACTTGGCTGACCCCGTGCTGCCTACACCACTCCCGGTCAGATTTATTTCTAACCTGTTCTACTAAGAATACGCATATGAAAGACAGCATCCCTAGAAAGGAAAGGAAATGTTTTCTGGCAGGCAAGGAAATGAATAAGTGTGCATGTTTATATTGGGCATCATCTGCGGAGTCAGTCACACAACTGGACTGGAGAGATTTCAGACCATGATCCCTGGGAAAAGTGTGTGAACACAGACGAGAAGTCAAAAGGGGATCTGAAGGTGGGCTAACAGATGGAACCTGACGACGGAGAACCCACTTTTGTTCTCTGTCAGGTTTGACCGAGGCCTTCTCCGCACAAAAGTGACTGTTGAACTCTCTGGCGCCCTCCCGAGATCGTTCCACTCGGCTCCGCTGCCTCCTCTTTGATGCAGAAGGGGAGGTTTTGTGTAAATATTTTGTTTGAGCGTTTGAGCATCTTAATCTTCCAGAAGTTGATCTTTGGAGTGGAGCAACACAGGGTGCTCACGTTCAGAGGAGCTCCCAGTTGTAGAAAGAAAGAGGGGAGTGCAAGAGACGGAGAAGGGAGGGAGAGAAAAAAAGAAGAAGGTTTGTGTACTTGCTGGAGTGCTGGGAGCTAGAGTTCACTACGGGGGCGTAAGTGTGTCAAGAAGAATGCTTTTCCCCCATCCGCAAGCCCCGGGCCCTCTCCACAACATTAAAAAGCATAAACAGTCAATACTGAATGTAACTCAGAGACAGAGCAAGAGAAGGGAGCGTGGAAAAAAG